CGGGGATGCCATGCTTGGGGGTCACAGCGGGGATGCAGGGAGCACCCAGCCGGGGGATGCCATGCTTGGGGGTCACAGCGGGGATGCAGGGAGCATCCAGCCGGGGGATGCCATGCTTGGGGGTCACAGCGGGGATGCAGGGAGCACCCAGCCAGGGAATGCCATGCTTGTGGGTCACAGCGGGGATGCAGGGAGCACCTAGCCAGGGAATGCAATGCTTGGGGGTCACAGGCAGGGATACAGGGAGCACCCAGGCAGGTGCTAGGCCACAGAGAGCTGGCCGGCATGGTCACCAGGCCCCTCTGTGGCCCGGGCTGGGTCCCCCGGGGAGGGTGTCCTCATGTCCAGGGCCCTCTGCCCAGGAGTGGTACTGTCTACAGAAGGCTCAGTGCAGCAGGGAGTGAGGTCAGCCTTGGAGGGTCACCCAGCAAAGGACAGAGGATGGCGTGGACACGGCCGAGCTGGGCGCGGGGCAGACCGGGAGGGTGCATTGGGAAGGGCGGTGATGGGCTGGGAGACACTACGAGATGCCTGGGAGGCAGGGCTAGGGTTGACTCCCGGGCGGTGGGGCTGTCAGAGCTACCAGGCGGGGCCGGAGCTCGCAGGCAGCTGCCACCACCCTGGGCCTCCGCGGGGGCTCTGCCTCCCACACGCATCCAACGTGGCTTCCGGAAAACTACGCTTGGCATGGCCAAGTCTGGGGTCCCGGGGAGGATTCTGAACCGGCGCCAACACCGCAGCGAGGACGATTCCACCCCAGCCACGGGCCCTGGTGCTGCGGGCAGGACAGAAGCGCCGGGCGGCAGAGCCCTATCTCATCTCTGAACGAGCTGACGCTTACATAACGCGCTATGATTAAGCGTCTATTTTTGGCCGCCATATGTGCCATCTCATGAGTTGAGCTCTCTGTAATTTGGGACGTTCTTGTTTCTTTTTTGGATACCTTCAGCTTGGCTTGGAATAGAAAATAAGACACTGGAAGTCAGAATCCAGCGTTCCTTAAATCGGACGCCCAGGGACAAGGCTCCGTCCACCGTGACAAGGGCCAGGTGCTGGTGCCGGGTCTCGGCTGACAGGCACAGGCAGGACTCCGCGCTGGGCGTTCACTCGCCGTCTCTTCCTCTGTCAGACGTCGGCGTGCGGCTCGCACTGTCCTTGGACGGTGCGTTTCTCACAAAGCGCCGGCGTGCACCCTTCTGGGATGGCGTTTCACAGCGTGGCCCCTTGCACTGTGCTGAGCGTGTGCGTGCGTGTTGGCGTCCTGCGTCTCGTGGCAGAGTGTGCACGTCTGTGCTTAGAACGAGCTCGCTTCAAACTGGATCTCCGTCCTGCAGTCCGTGGCTCAGGAAAACTGAGTTCAAGCCGTGTTCAGTCTGTGTGGGACCGGAACACGGGTGTCTGCCTGTGCAGCCCCCGAGCAGTCTGCGTGCGCACACAACACACAGAATGGAGGACCCGAGGGATACCAGACTTCCGGGTCATCCAGCGGATTTTTCACACTTGGCAGAATGCGACTGTGTGCAGTGCCACAGTGGGATTCGCACCCAGCGCTGGTTACGGGGGTCGAGAGTACGCGCGGTCTGTGGGACAGCGAGAGCCCGTGAGGCCCAGGCAGGGGCAGCCCAGCTCCGGGAGGAGACGCTCCGTGAGCTTTGCCACGGGAGGCCAGAGCCTCCCTGGAACACGGGGTGGGGGCGCAGGGGGAGAGCACAGGCTTCTGAGGGGGAGGGTCCCCCACTCGGAGTGGCCCCTGGGGAGGCGGACTCGTCCCAGGCGGCGGGGGCTGGGCGGTGGTGCCCGGCCTCGCGGAGGTGGCCGAGCCCGCCCGGGGCGGGACTGCCGTGCGCAGCGAGTGCCTGCCCAGGTGAGCAAGGCCCGGGCCCAACCCTGCTTTGGGGGACGGGACCGCCTCTGTTGGGCACCTTCTGAGTGCGTTGAGCATGCAGTGTCGGGCTGAACACGTGTGGCAGTGGGCGGAGCCCCGGGAGGCTGCGCTGGGGAGGGGGCTCCACGCAGGGCTCCCCAGAAAACTGGACACCACGGACACCTCCTGCGTCCCATTGGCCGGAGTGACATCTGCAGACATGCACGCTCAGTATTGTTTGCTCTGTCCGTCTCCGAGCATATTAACTCGGAAACCAGGGCTCCCTTTCTCTGTCTCCACGTGACGTCATGCACCTGTCTGTCCCCCAGTCACCAGGGCCAGCCCAGAAAGCAGGCGTGTGTTTCCGTGTCGGAGAGAAACCTCCTGCAAGTTCTGTGCAGATTCAGTCTCCTGCAGCCTGCAGAAGGACATCGTGTTGTCACCTCCGTCCTGCGTCCTCTGCCTGTGGCGCTCACCTCTGCCTTTTGAAATGAAGTTTTATTCTGGACCTTGCCCAGCTTTTAGCACCGATGGTTGACCCCGACTGGGAGAACACTTAACCTGCCCTTGTTTATATTTAACACATGTTTGTGTGCACCATTCAACCCTGCTCACTGGCCAAGAGCGTCCGGAATATAAAGATTCAAAGTTTAAAAACAATGGAAAGGTTCCACTTTCCGGGTCTGAGAAAGTAAAATAAAAGAAAAAAATTAAAAAAGAAAAAAAAAGAAAAAAGAAAAAATAATGGAAAGGCTAACTCGGAGGAAAGCAGGAGTGTAGAATCACGCTGACTGCGCCTCCAGGCACGGCCCCGAGCTGTGTCCGTCCCCCTCACAGGTGGGGGACTGAGCCTCCTCCCCGGTGGCTGGATGGAAGTGTGAATCTGGGGGGGCTTGCAGGAGGCGGCAGCCAGCCCTGGTTTCAGCTCAGACATCCGGCCTGTCCTGAAAGGGCCTGCCTTCCATGGGGTGTGAATCCGAGGTGACGAAAACTGCCATCAGATTTAGAAAGGCGTGATTCTCTTTCAACTCGAGAGACAGGCCCCATCAGGGTGGCTTTCCCGAAATAGTGGTGGCCGATTTCACAGCAGCGGTGACACTTTTCAAAGTCCTCTTGATGGGTGACCCGGACCTGCCCTCTGGTCACCCTGTGTGCGCCGCCTGCAGGACGAGCATTAGCCGTGGCACGGTTTGTGTGTTGGTGCGGTGTGCACGGCGTGGCAAAGCGCACGGTTGTAGGGACATGCGGTTGGCTCCAGGGCAGCTTCCCGGGGGCCAGGGGGACAAGTGTGGAGGCCGGCGTCTGGCAGACGGGCCCGTGGAGCCAACTCAGGATGCACGGTCCCTGTCCTCCCAGAGGACAGCAGACGGAGCAGAGACATGCCAGGGCCCTGGGTGGGAGGTGTGCACAGATGCTGGTGTCCCCCCATCCCAAGGCAAGACCAGCGTCCACCCAGCCTAGACAGGGAGCTCAGCTGCCCAGTGACAGGGGACAGCGTCCGCCCGGCCTAGATGGGGAGCTCAGCTGCCCAGTGACAGGGGACAGTGTCTGCCCGGCCTAGATGGGGAGCTCAGCTGCCCAGTGACAGGGGACAGCGTCCACCCAGTTTAGATGGGGAGCTTAGCTGTCCAGTGACAGGACAGCGTCCGCCCGGCCTGGGCGTGGAGCTCAGCTGCTGCCCGGGCACGGAACGTGCTCTTGGCCTCCGGTGTCTGTGCCCTGGCGAGTGCTCATCTCCGGTTCAACGCCCCCCCCACACACAGGCAGCCTGGGAGGCAGCTCCTGGCTCATGTTTTGCTTCTAAGGACGACTGCCACACCCCTGCCACCGGGGCCTCCGCGCTCCTGTGCCGTCTCAGTGAGTCATGTCGTCATCCCAGGGTCTCGCTAGAACTCGGGACTTACCTGCAAGGTCCCAAGGACGCCTGATGCCGTGTGGTCAGCGAGGAGGGGAGCCCGGTGTCCCTCCTGCCGGAGCAGCCGGGGTACCAGCCCCGGCCCTGTGTCCCTTGACCTGGGAGTCCTCAGCTCTGTGGCCCTGGGGCTTCTCTGGCGCCAGCCACGGGCGTGGCAGGTGGGCGTGGGCCAGCCCGTCGGCCAGGACGCGGGTGTGTTGGTCCCCCTATTCCTGCCGCTGTGTCTGTTCCCGGCCGTGGGGCCGTCCCATCCTTGCGTGTGTGTCTGTGTTCCGTGTGCGTTTGGCCTCGAGACACAGAAATTGAACTCGCCGCTTCAGACTCTTCTGTTTTGGGTGACGGGCTCTCCCTGGGGTCTGGGCGTGACTCAGCCCTGGCGTGGCCTTCCCTGCGTGGCCGTCAGGTGGGTCAGCACGCTCTGCGCCAGGCAGGTGCTGAACACCGCAGAAGCCCCTGGTCACCCCACCCTCAAGCGTGACAAAGCCGGATGCGTCAACTCACACGCCTGCAGCCCCAGCACTTTGGGGGGCCGAGGCAGGAGGATCGCTTGAGCCCGGGAGCACAGGGCTGCCATGAGCTGTGATCGTGCCCCAGCCTGGGTGACAGAGAGACCCTGTCTGTTAGAGAGAACCGAGGTAGGCGCCGCTGCCGTGCCCATTTTGCAGATGGGAGGACTGAGGCACAGAGAAGTGAGGATCTTGCCCAGGGTCGCAAACCTTGTGAGTGGCAGAGCCAGGGAGCAGACACGTCCGTGTCCCTGTGTCCAGGGTGTGTGTGCACGCCGGGGTGTGAGCTCATCTTCGATTTCGTTCAGGCAACACGTGTGTCGTCTATACGATGTCTTGCTGCCGCACGCGCGTGGGCTCCTGGGGCTGTTGGAGCGGCCTGTGCAGATGGGTGGCGCAACCACGGGAAGTGACTCTCAGGTCCCCGAGCCGGGCGCCACAGGGTTGGCCCCTCTGCACCTGGCGGGGGGAGGGCCCGTTCCAGGCCCCGTGCAGCGGCCCTTGCTGTCCCCCGGCTCCAAGACACACCTCCCGCCTCCGGGCCCCGGTGACCTTGCGGGGCCGGGTCACCTCTGTGCAGACCCCACCCCAGACACAACCACGTGCGCGGCAGGACTCGGGTGAGAGCTGGAAGGGAGCGGCTCTGCCCCTCGCAGCTGTGAGGCGCTCTGGCTCTGAGTCCACAGACCGAGCCACAGACCGCGCCGAGCAGCGAGCGCAGCTTTTCCTTTTCTCTTAAAAAACGGCGGGGTCTCTGAGAGGGGCCGGGGCTGTGACCGCTTCTATCCCAGCATGCCCGTGCCCCATGGGGCACCTCGCGGAGGCCATGTGGTTGCCTCGGGGTGGCGACGCCCCTCTCAGCCACGCCGTCCACGGAGGTGACGCAGCCCCCCCACCCCGCAGGCGTCGTTCCCAGCGAACCTGCAGCTCGTCCTCGTCCTCCGCCCCACGGGATTTTTCCAGAGGACTCTGTCCGACATCGCGTTCAAGTTCAACAGAGATGACTTTAAGATGAAGGTGCCGGTGAGTATGCGCCGTCCCCCTACCCTCCCGCCCGCCGGCACAGTTCTCCGGGCGTGACCCCAGCGCCGTGGCCACCGGCAGAGCCCTGCGGCGCTTGGTCGGAAGCCGCACATCCCGTCCACGCGGTCCCCAGCATCCCTGCCCCGCCCCAGAGCTCAGGGTCCCTGACACACAAGCCCAGCCTTGGGCGGGAAACTGAGTCAGGGGACACGGTCATACCTGCCGTCTCTGCAAGGAGCGGCCCCAGCTGTGCCAGTCTAGCCCTCCCCTCCTGTCCCCCGACTCAGCCCGGCACGCACAGCCTGTCCCTAGCACTGCCCGTCATATCAAGAAAGAAAACGTCTTAGGGTGGACCAGTTGTCCTTTAAAAAACAAAGATCACCTGGGAGGCCGAGGCCGGAGGATCACTCAAGGTCAGGAATTCAAGACCAGCTTGAGCAAGAGCGAGACCCCGTCTCTACTAAAAAAAATAGAAGGAAATTAATTGGCCAACTAAAAATATATAGAAAAAAATTAGCTGGGCACGGTGGCACATGCCTGTAGTCCCAGCTACTCGGGAGGCTGAGGCAGGAAGATCGCTTGAGCCCAGGAGTTTGAGGTTGCTGTGAGCTAGGCTGACGCCACGGCACTCTATCCAGGGCAACAGAGTAAGACTCTGTCTCAAAAAAAAAAAACAAAACACAAAGACCATAAAGTCCCTCAAAGCCCATGGACTCTGGGAGCCCGCGTCCCCTCTGGACCTGGCTGTCACCTGAGCCGAGCGGCCTCTGTGAAGGACACTGGACGGGGGCTGTGGCCGGAACCTCTGTGGGTTCCTTTCTTCTCCGCCCCAGTGGGGACAGCAGCCCCGGCCAGGTTGCTCCGGGAAACCCAAGACCGGGCTGGGGATCCCGCTCCAGGAGGGTCCTTCCTGCCCCTCGGTGTGCAGGTGGCAGCGGCCGAGCTTGGCGCCCTCCTGACGCTGCTCCTGCCCCTCCTCGGACCTTGGCCCCGGACACACTCGGCCCTTCTCTCCCCGAGGCCGGGGAAGGCTGGGTCTGGGCACTTTGACCTCCTCCGCCCACCCAGGAGGCCCCGGGCCCACCCACCCTGACACCCTGACCGCAGTCCGCCCAGGAGCCGCTCCGTGACCCGCCACCTGGCACGGGGCAGGAGGACGTTCTGCACAGCCGGCCATGCACAGGGCCCTGCAGGGTCTGCGTGCGAGTTGCGCCTCTGTGGCCCCGAGAACCACAGGCTGCGGGTCTCTGGCAGAGCTCTGATGCCCAGCACGTCTGTGCACAGAGAACCTGTGTATCTGAGCCACTGCTTCCCAGGGTGGCTTCTGCCCGGGCGGGGGGAGGGGCTGCGTGTGCAGCGTGTCTCGGGCAGTCACGCATGTGTATTGTGACCCTGTGATGGGGTGACAGGCTCCCCGGATATTGGCAGGTGCACCCCACTGACCACAGGTCTCTGTGCCACAGACGGTCACGGGAAACGGGGTCCCTCCCGTCAGTGCCGGGGTCCCCCCTGCACAGTGCCTCTGCTGTGCCGGGGCTCAGAGTCGCCTCACGTGGTCTCGCGGAAGCGGTCTCTGGCCTCCTCAGCCTCGCGGGCCCGTGTTAGGTGGTCCTTTAGGACCGCAGAGAAGTTCATTTGGAGAATGGCTGTTAAAGACGCATCCGTGTCCGTGTTGTGGGCTATATGCTGAACTCGGTCCTGGAAGGAAAGTGTCACACAAAGCACCGGGTTCCTGCACCCCTGTCACGGCCCAGCACATGCGAGGCGTGGACGGGACTCAGCCGGGACGCAGAGACCGCAGGGAACACGGCCTCGCACATGCCGGCCGCGAGTCAGGTGCTGGGCAGCCTGTGAATAGCTCCATTAAACAGCGAAGAGAGAACGAGTCCTCTCTCCCGAGAACCCCGTTTTCTAGTTGAAACTGGAAATGTGACAGGCTCTTTAAACAGAGATCACGTCCCAGTCAAGGGTTCTCAATAGGGCGCCGTGGCAGCCGGTGCGGAAAGCGTCTCCGTCATGGGGTTTCCACAGCTCTCCTGCCCCCAATCCTCCCCCAGGGGTGATGGCCCAAACCGTGTCCAGGCCCTGTCCAGTGTCCGGGGGGTGGGCAGCATCTCCCCCAGTAGAGAGCCGCTGCATTAAACCAACACAGTATTTAATGACCACTGAGCGGCATCGAATGATGATATCAGCGCTAAGCTCCGGAGGCCTGTCTCAGGGTATCCGTCTACAGGGACCACATGGCCTCAACGGGGCAAGAGAAATAAAGAACCAACTTGGCCACCGCAGCCGGAGTTTCCTGTACCAGGTGTGACCTCAGGCACCGCTAGCCTGGCCCGTGCTGCTGCCCTGACTCTAACTAGCACGTACATGACTGCGCGGTGCGTTTGGCAGGAGCAGGGACCAAAACTACCCCCATTCTGACCAGATCACTATTTGATCAGTCTGGCGAACCTGCCCGCAGTGGCCGTGGACGCCTGTCAGAGGTCCGCCATGTGCACGCTCTCTGTCAGGGGTTGCACGCGCTGACGGCCAGCGTTTGCTCCTCGTTGTAAGCTGGTGAGATCAGCCGTAATGCGCCTGTTTGTGAGCGAGAAGCTGAGGGGGAATCGGCGACTCGCATGGCGTGGATCAGCTGGGAGGTGGGGGGAGCAACCTGGGTCCACGCCAGGCCGCGGCCAGACGCCTCCATCCGCGTTGCCACCACCGCCCCATCCAGGGCGGGGACGCTGGACGCTCTGCCCGTGGGCCGGTTCTTGCCGGGAGCCAGTCGTGGCCCCAGAGGCTCAGCCTGGACGCCGTGACCCGTTCCCTCCCTGCCAGGTCATCATGCTGGGCTCCGTGCCAGAGCTACACGGCCACATCGACAGGTCGCAGCTGACCGAGGACCTCGGAGGGACGCTGGACTACTGCCACACCCGGTGGCTGTGCCACCGCACAGTGAGTGGGCCGGGTGCCGGCGGGTCGAGGTTCTTGTCAGTTCGTGGTCGACCCGGCAGGACAGCTCCTGCCCTGCGGCGTTGCCCTCTCCAAAGTCATGCTCACGCTAGCACTAGCTTGCTTCCCCGAGAATGAGGAGATGGTCTCAGGGGACCTGAGTCATCACGAAGGCGTAACACGAGCAATGAGTTTGGGAGTAGCTCGCTCTCGGCTGGGAGGCAAAAGAGAAAAGGGTTTAAAAACACAAAACAAAGCCTGTGTTGCTGTGGTTTGCGACGCTCACCCCCTCGACGTGGGGGGAGAGACCTCCGGCGCAGGGTGGCTCTGGGCGGTGGGAAACTCGTAAATCCTGCCTGGTATGCTCGGGAAGAAACGCACGAGGAGGGAGCCCGGGAGGGCGTTTCCTTTTGCACACGCCTCGGCCGGTTGCACTTTGGCCGCCGCCCTCTTGAGATGCCGCGACAGTGGCCCCGTGGCGTTGGCCGTGGGAGCGCGGGGGCCGCGGCGTGGGCACTGCGGTGACCGCGTATCTGCCCCCCAGGCAATCGAGAGCTTCGCGCTCATGGTGAAGCGGACGGCGCAGGCGCTGCAGGCCTTCGGGACGGAGCTGGCCGAGACCGAGCTGCCCAACGATGCACCGTCCACGCGTGCCGTGCTCTGCGCACACACTGAGAAGAGGGACAGGGCCAAGGTGCGTGCGGCTCCCGCGGCAGCTAGGCAGCGCCGTAGGGCGTTGAGACAGTGCCGGGGACGCGTCTGGGCTGGTTTCAGAGATGCCTTTGGCCGCGGTCAGCGGGCAGCCTCCCTGCCCAGAACCAGCGCTGCTCTCTGAGGGCGGCGTGCACGCCCTGCAGGCCGCGGGCTGCGGCTCCACATCGGCCTAGCCCAGCGCCGCCCGCGCCGTCGGGGCGAACGGGGGACCCGGGGCCGTCCTCTGTCCGGGCAGGCAGGGACACTGTGGCCAGAACGCTGGGCCTGAGGTCCCGGGCAGCACACGTCCACGTGGCTGCTGGGGGCCGTGTCCGGGGCCATGTGTGCCCCTGGCCCTGAAGCGGCGTGGGCAACGGCCGTGACCCTCTGCGCCCTCCGTCTTCCGGGGGAGCGGCTCCTCCCACGAGTGGCCTTTTGCGCCCAGCGGCAAGGGCTGCCCCGGGGCAGGGACGCTTGCGTCTGGCGTCCGCCCCTCCTCTGCCTGGGCTCTCCCCCACCCTGCACACCCGGGCTGAGAGTCCCCGCCCGGCCCGGCCACTGCGCAGACGGGACCCCGTGCTGCACGTCCTTACCCCGAGGGTCTGTCCTCACCCCCGGGACGCCCCGCGGGACCTCGCCGCTGCCCGGCTGCGCTGACGCCGCCTCCTGTCCCTGCAGGAGGACATGAGGCTGGCGCTGGAGGAGGGCCGCGGCGTCCTGGAGAGCGTCAGCGCGCCGCTGGCCCAGGACCCAGAGCGCAGCGTGAACCAGGACCAGCTGGACAACCAGAGCACTGTGCAGAGGTGAGGCCGGGCCCCGCCCCAGCCACGGCGCAGAGCAGCCCATGGCCCCTGCGGCAGGAAGAGGCCACAGGCCGGGAAATGTGAACATCCGAGCCCTGAGGCCAGCGGTCCCCTCCCCAGCCTCTGCGTGATTGTCACCCCTTCCTGCCAAGAAGCTCCCTGACCCCAGAGCAGGCGGCCTGTCTTGGGGGGAGACGGCCGGAGCAGACATGCTTTTCCTAGGCGTGAGGGGACGTTGGGGTAGAGCGGTGGTGACACGGCACGCTGGCTCGTGTGGCTTTGTCTCCAAGCAGGGCTTTTTTTCTTTTGAGACAGGGTCTCACTCTGTCATCTGAGCTAGAGTGCCATGGCGTCAGCCCCGCTCACAGCAACCTCAAACTCCTGGGCTCAAGCGATCCTGAGCTCCTCTTCAGGCTCCTCCTGCTCAGCCTCCCGAGTAGCTGGGACTACAGGATGCGCCACCATGCCCGGCTATTTTTTTCTATATATTTTTAGTTGGCCAATTCAATTTTTTTTTAGTAGAGACGGGGTCTTGCTCTTGCTCAGGCTGGTCTTGAACTCCTGACCTTGAGTGATCCTCCAGCCTCGGCCTCCCATAGTGCTAGGATGACAGGCGTGAGCCGCCATGCCCTGCCCCAAGCAGGTCTTCTATGGACGGGGACGCTGGGCTCTTCCCACTGGTGTGGGGAACGTCCTTTCCTGCTGTCACACGAGGTGTGATCTGTGTACCTTCCCTGGGTTCCCAGCCTGAGGCATAACAGGGCGCAGGTGACGCCCGTGGGCTCACAGGTGCCAGCTGCCACCTCACGCAGGCTGGGAGTCCGGCACCGCCCGTCCTCGCCCACCCGTCCGTCCACACGGGTCGGTGCTGCCATCCTGACACAGGCCGAGGTGTTTCTGGGGACCCCCAAGCTCTGCCCTGGACTCGGCGGGGCCCACGACAGCAGCCTCCTGTGCCAGGGACACGGGGGACAGGGTGAGGGGCACAGCACCGAGGGCTCCCATGGAGACGGGACAGGGCCCGAGGCAGAGGTTGCCCAGCCAAGAGGGACGGGCGGCGGCCCCAGCTCCACACTGGGCTCCTTGTCAGCTTCCCTGGGACTCGGTTTCCCTGTCTGTGAAAGGGCACAGATCCGAACACACGCCTGGCCAGAGGCTGGGGACTGAGTGGGGATGAGGGCAGTGCTGGCGCAGCGCCAGTGCGCAGGAACCTCCGGGCCCTGTCACTGCTGAGCTGAAGTGCAGGTAATGGGCCCAAACCCACCTCCTGGGCCTTAAAAATTAGCTAACTAGGCCGGGCATGGTGGCTCTCGCCTGTAATCCCAGCACTCTGGGAGGCTGAGGCAGGCGGATTGCTCGAGGTCAGGAGTTCAAAACCAGCCTGAGCAAGAGCGAGACCCCGTCTCTACTATAAATAGAAAGAAATTAATTGGCCAACTAATATATAGAGAAAAAATTAGCCGGGCGTGGTGGTGCATGCCTGTAGTCCCAGCTACTCGGGAGGCTGAGGCAGGAGGATTGCTTGAGCCCAGGAGTTTGAGGTTGCTGTGAGCAAGGCTGATGCTACGGCACTCACTCTAGCCTGGGCAACAAAGTGAGACTCTGTCTCAAAAAATATAAAATAAAATAAAATTAGGCTCGGCTCACTCCGCCGGGAGTGTGACATGGAGGATGGCGCTCAGGGAGGGGGCGCACCCCAGGCCTTTCCTCCTCCTTCCCCGCTGCTCTGGGGGTCATGGTCGCTCCACCTGCCGGGCCCCCAGGGGGATGTGGTGCTCCCCCTGCACGACACACGAAGGCCATGGCCGTGTCCCCTCTCCAGGCTCCTGGCCCAGCTGAGCGAGACGGAGGCGGCCTTTGACGAGTTTTGGGCAAAGCACCAGCAGAAGCTCGAGCAGTGCCTGCAGCTGCGGCATTTCGAGCAGGGCTTCCGGGAGGTGAGTTTCCCAGCACGGTGAGCAGAGGCTGCCCCCCTGCCCCCGTCCTGCTCTGCACTCCCCCACACAGAGATCCCCGCCCGGGGCTTCGGGTCATCTGGGGTGCACGCCCCTTTTCAGGATGACTTCTGCTAAAGAAAATTAAAGCTTTTGTCTTTAAACGGACAAGCTGTCGTGTGTTTCAGAAGTCACGCACGTGAAACCCTGAGTCGTCCTGCCAACACCAGCCATGCTGGGCGTTCGTGCGGGGTTGGGGGGGACAGAAGTCTGGGCAGAGCCCCCCAGGCCACCTGCGTCCCCCTCCCGGCGTCTCTCCAGCTGGTGGGGACACCCTGAGCAGCCCCTTCTCCGTTCCAGGTCACAGCCACCTTGGACGTGGTGTCCCAGAAGGTCGCGGCCTTCACGGACGTGGGCAACAGCCTGGCGCACGTGCAGCACCTGCTGAGGGACCTCGCCGGCTTTGAGGAGAAATCCCGCGTAAGGACGGTGTGGCGGGCGGCTGGCGGGAGGGTTCGCGGCGTCGCCACTGCGGAGGAGGACCTCTCAGCCCAGCGTCATCGCGGGCCGGGCGCAGGGACCCTCTGCCCGTCCCACCCTGGAACCCGTGGGTCCATCCCCAAGAAAGACAGACGGACGGTGCCTTTCCATGGGGCCCCAGAAGCATTTGTCCCCAACAGCCGACGGGACTGGGTGGCATTTCCATGACCACAGACACGGGGAAATGATGCGGGTCCCACCCCTCTGGGACTCGCCCACTGTGACTGGGGCCCTGCTTGCCTCTGACGCACGCAAGTGACCCTCGCTGGTCTCCTGGCGATGTCCTCAGGCGGCCGTGGACAGGGCCCGGGCGCTGTGCCTGGACGGCGAGCGGCTCATCGAGGACAAGCACTACGCCGTGGACTCCATCCTGCCCAAGTGCGAGGAGCTGCGGCAGCTCTGCGATGCCTTTGCTGCCGAGGTCGGGCGGCGGCGGGGGCGGCTGGGCCGGTCGCTGGAGCTGCACGGCCTCCTGGAGACGGTAGGCAGCGGGGCCCCCCATCCTCCACAGCCAGGTCGGATTCATGGGTTCAGAATGGCGCGGGCGGGCGCGTCCCCGTAGAGCCACCTGTGCCCTAGAAGTCACCGGCAACAGCAGTGGTTTCCTCAGAAGGACGTGAGACTCTCGGCCTCTGTTAACTACCACGCCGCGCCTGTCTCCCCTCCGTAGCGGCCGTAGATGTCAGTCTCGCCCGGAACACGCTCAGCCTTGCGCAGGGCTCCGGGCCCTCAGGGTCCTCCTGGCTCAGCAGCTGGGAGCGGCAGCGTGTTAGGTGTCCCCGAATCCCGGGTCGGCGGTGGACGGCGCGGCGGGCAGGGAGTGGTTGCCATGAGCAGGCCCCGTCCCTGACAGCGGCCCCTCTCCCGCCCGTGTCCGCAGTCCATGCGGTGGAGCGACGAGGGCATCTACCTGCTGGCCTCACAGCCTGTGGACAAGTGCCAGTCCCAGGACGGGGCGGAGGCCGCCCTGCAGGAGATCGAGAGGTTTCTGGAGACGGGGGCAGAAAGCAAGATCCAGGAGCTCCCCCAGATCCTCCAGGACTACGAGTCCATCCTCAACCAGGACCTGACGGTAAGGCCGCAGGACCAGTGCAGCTCGGCCGCCCTGGGTGCCGGGAGTCACTTTGCGCAGTGTCGGGGACGCGTTCGGTTTGCTGTCAGTGGACAGCGGGCGTTTGAGAGCTGGGACAGAAGTGATTCCACACCGGCTTTGCGAGGGGCCGTCTTGCACCCTGGCCAGACCCACGCCGTGGCAGGTGCTGTAGGGGGTGACATCCCTTGGGGCCCTGGTGACACCAGGCATCCCCGATACTGTACCAGAGCAGGGCTTCCCCCGGACGTCCGCCCCAACCTGCCAGCCTGGTCCCACCCTCAGGGTGACCAGGAGACGTCACTCCACCTCCTGGGGCCGTGGTGGCCCTTCAGGTACTTGGGGACGGCTTCCAGGCCCCGCCGGGAGCTGAGCGGCATCCCTCGGATGCCCACCGCCCGAGGCACTCATGGACGCTGTGTGGTGGACATTAAAACTAGGGGGCAGGGCCAGGCACGGAGGCTCACGCCTGTAATCCCAGCATTCTGGGAGGCCGAAGCACGAAGATCTCTTGAGCTCAGAAGTTTGAAACCAGCCTGAGCAAGAGCGAGACCCTGTTTCTACTAAAAATAGCAAGAAATTAATTGGCCAACTAACATATATAGAAATAATTAGCCGGGCATGGTGGCGCATGCCTGTAGTCCCAGCTACTCGGGAGGCTGAGGCAGGAGGATTGCTTTAGTCCAGGAGTTTGAGGTTGCTATGAGCTAGGCTGACGCCATGGCACTCACTCTAGCCTGGGCGACAGAGCAAGACTGTCTCAAAACAAAAACAGAAACAAAAAGCCTAGAGGCTCGTCCCATGCACGGCGGGTACACCCTAATGCCGTCCCCGTGCCACCCTCGCGCCTCACTGCCCTGCCGCCCGTTCCAGGAGCACGTGCGCAAGGTCTTCCAGAAGCAGGCGAGCACGGAGGAGATGTTCCGCCGCCGGCAGGCCAGCCTCAGGAAGCTGGCGGCCAAGCAGACGCGGCCGGTGCAGCCCGTGGCGCCCCGGCCGGAGGCGCTGACCAAGTCGCCCTGCCCCTCCCCAGGTGCGTGGCTCCTTGCGCTCTGCGTGTGGGGGTCCCTCGGGCACACGGCACACTGGGGAGACCACGTGGATTCTCCACGTGGCACCGTTGTCCCCTGCCACTTCTGCGCCAAGCTGGCTTAGTCGTTTCTGCCACGGCCGTGTGGCCCACAGAGCTGGGAACGTGGACGGGGGCAGGACCCCTGACCTTCCCACTGGTCCACACGCCCCGCCCGTTCTCAGAGCGCAGTGGGGTCCCTTGCACTCCCTAGACCTCCGTCCAGAGCCCTCCCGCACAGCCGGTCCACGGGCACAGCCAGCCCGGCCGGCCACGTGGCTGCCCACGGTGGCCCTGCCTGGCCCCATGCGACACCCATCCCCTGTGGCCAAGCCCAGCGCTGCTTCTGGGAGATGCTTCCCTGTCACCCCACCTCGCTCCTCCTGTCCTGGCCAGGTGTCCTTGGCCAGCGTCAGCTGTAAATCCCCAAGAGCCTGCGAGAGCCAGGCACCGGCCCCCAGCGCTGGGTCCCCAAGGCCAGAGACGCGGTTTGCTCTGTGTCTGGAGATGCCCCGGCCAGAGGCTGTAGGCGTCCCCGCCAGGGCTCCTCGCCGTGGCCTGCCGCCCACGCCAGCCCCCCTGACCTTGGAAGCCCCTTTCGTGTCCTCCTCTCAGGCACCAGGCCTTCCTTGCTCCCTCTGGCCCTGTGCTGCCCCCTCGAAGGGGACAGTGCCACGCTCGGCCGCGCTCCCCTCCCAGGCCGCCAGCACCAGGGTGATGCCACCTTCTCCACCTCTTTCCAAACAGGCATCCGGAGAGGCTCAGAGAACCCCAGCTCCGAGGGCAGCGTGCTCCGGAGGGGGCCCTACCGGCGGGCCAAGGTGAGGCCCCGCGCCACGTGGCCTGTCCTCACGTCGCGCCACGGCATCCTGGGGATGGGTCCCCTCTCCCTCCTCGGGGGACCCCGCCCTGGTTCTCGGGGGCACCTGGGGCCGCTCCGCCCCTTCCCAAGCCTGGTGCTGTTCCTGTCCGCAGAGCGAGATGAGCGGGAGGCAGGGCCGCAGCAGCTCCGCGGGGGACGAGGAGGAGAGCCTGGCCGTGCTGCGCAGGTGGGTGGGGTGGCCGTGCGCACGGACGTTGGGACAGACCTCCAACGAGGCAAAGTGGCACGTAGCTGGCGCTGAGGGCCGTGTGCCTGGGTTGTGCACACGCAGGGTACATGTGTCCGTTTGGCATCACCACGTCTGAAAGGAAGAGAAATCTAAGTTTTCCTGGGAAAGCCCCACCCAGCCCGGTGCTCCGGTGTGCACTTTGGCCATTCGGACGCTGGGTCCCCCCTGTCGGGGCCCTGCGCGAGGAGCCCTGGGCTGGTGCAGACGTGGGGCTGGGGCTGCCACCCGCATGCCTCCTAGCCCACCCAGGGAAGGCCTCTGCACCTGGGCTGTCTCCACGGCCCCTGCGCCCACCCGGGCGTCTCGCCTACCCACCCTCCTGAGCACAGCTAGGCTAAGACACCACCTGGGTCCTGTCCCTGCACAGCCCGCCTTCCCGAGGGGCCGGCCACTGGGCTCCCCGCGTCCTGCCCTGGCACCTTCACCCTCGAGAGCAGAGCCCAGAGTCTGCCCCGGGAACCCGTCCAACCCCGCACCCAGCTGCACCTTCCTCCTGAGACGTCTCCCTGGACGGCGCAGTCCCTCAGCGTCCACACCTCCTCGCCCAGGCGTCAGCATCCCCTTCCTGCTCCCAGGGCTGTGGGCAGCAGACGGGAGGGTCCTCGGGCGACACCACCTGAGCCGCCAGGTGGGGTTTCGGGCACCGGCAGTGGGTGCCCACAAGCCACTCAAAGTCCCGTGCGTGATTCATTTCATCTGTCTGGTGTGCACACGCTAGCACATGCGTGTTCCCCACACACGGCTGGCTTGACTCTGTGGTGACGTCGGGTGGTGCTACAGGGGCGTCCCGGGAGCAGCACTCAACCCAGCAGGTGTCTCCGCCAGCCGCGCCCCTGCAGGGAGCTCGTCCACGGCCCTGGGCACTGGGCACAGGGAGTTTGAGCCCAGGAGACGTGTGGTGGCGTGGCATCTGGATGCTCTGCTGTATTTGAGTGGCTGCTCGCGGCTAGTGGCCGCCGAGGTGGGCAGTGCCTTCCCGAGCCCCGTCCCCTGGGCTTGCAGGAGCTCAGAGTGGGGACCTTGCGCGTGTAGAGAAGCAGCTCCCTGCCTTGGCCTTCCGCCTGTGCGGAAGAGCGACCTCACTCCCAGGGCCAGGGACGGTGCGTGCGGGGACTCGAGTTGAGAAGAAGCCAAAACACCGGAGGCCTCGGTGCCCAGAGCCGGAACCGCAAACCGCAGCTCCGTGTTAGGGACAGAAGAGAACCGCAGGTGTGGCCCCGCTGACCTTGTCTTTCTGGCATTTGTCCTGGGCACACCTGCAGAGGACACCTAGAGCCAGGTCCCCCCTCTGAACGCTGTTGACTCCAAAATTGAGAGGAGCAGGGTCTTTGGGCAGGTCACAGAGTGGGAGCAGGCACCAGGGTGCATGCGGTGGTTCTTCTCCGTGTCCTCCCACACGGCAGTGTCTCTGGGGCCACCGGAGAGTGGGGTCTGGAGTCAGAGTGAACCGAGCTTTGGGTGAAAGCTCCTCTCACTTCTGTCTCTGGTGGGACCGGTGGGACCGGTGGGCAGGGGCTGTCCAGAAGCTTCCAGACGGGGAGGAGCGCCTGGCCCCGTGTGTGCGGGAGGTGGCAGGCGGCGTGTGGTGCTGAGGGGCCCCACATCCAGGTGGGGGTGCGGACAGCCTGAGCGGCACACAGAGGGGCTCTCGGTGCCACCGGCAGCTCTAGAATGACCTTCTCCATAGTCTCAGCCCAGGAGCAACCTGCCAGCTCCAGGATCTATGTGTTCTAGAAGGTCGGTGGACCCTCCAAAAACGGGGACCCGTGTAGCCAACAGGGACCCCCTTCTGCAACTGTGTCAGGAGGGTGGTGGGCAGAGGCGCTGTAGTGGGGCAAAGCTACCCCAACCTCCCGGAGCCCACAGGGGGCAGCTGGGTCGGGGCCGGGTCCCCTGGTGGCCCGTGAAGAACACAGGGCTGGATCCAGGGCTGACTGCGACACGTGTGGGGACTTGAGCTCAGTATGCACAGGGGACCCACAAGCCTGGGAGGTGGGCCGGGGAGTCCACACCGCAGGGCCCAGGATGCCAGGCTGGGGGTCCGGCCTCGGTCCCCAGGGAGCGTCCAGCCCCTGGACCAAGCGGCACCTCCCGACCCCTCGGGCACAGGACGTCATCGCCTCCAGGTGCCATGGTTTCCGTGTCCACAGTCAGGCCTTACACCGGCCACGCACCCACCCCGGCCCTGACCTATCTGTGTCCCCAGGCACGTGATGAATGAGCTCCTGGACACGGAGCGCGCATACGTGGAGGAGCTGCTGTGCGTCCTGGAGGTGAGGCCCCGCCCCCGCCTCGTGGAACCAGTGCCCAGAGGTGGTGTTTGCGCCCCCTCACCATGTGCAGGAGCATTCGTAGCACAGGGGGTGGTCACCACAGTGTAGACACCTGTCTGAGTCACCCTGGTACCCACAGGGGGTGGTCACGGCAGTAGTGTAGACACTTGTCTGAGTCATCCAGGTACCCACAGGGGGTGGTCACGGCAGTAGTGTAGACACCTGTCTGAGTCACCCAGGTACCCGCAGGGGGTGGTCATGGCAGTGTAGACACCTGTCTGAGTCACCCAGGTACCCACAGGGGGTGGTCACAGCAGTAGTGTAGACACCTGTCTGAGTCACCCAGGTACCCGCAGGGGGTGGTCAAGGCAGCGTAGACACCTGTCTGAATCACTCAGGTACCCACAGAGGGTGGTCATGGCAGTGTAGACACCTGTCAGAGTCACCCAGGTACCCACAGAAGGCGGTCATGGCAGTGTAGACACTTGTCTGAGTCACCCAGGTACCCGCAGGGGGTGGTCAAGGCAGTGTAGACGTGTTAGAGTTGTGCTCTCTGTATCAGTTTCCCCTGAAAGTAAAAGCCTAAAAGGCAGGAGGACGCACCCCCACCCACCCAGAACCGACGCCGTTTGCGGTGGGGTCCTGTTTACTGCTGGGCTGCTCCGGTGGGCCGTGGCCCAGGCCTCCCTGCCCCCGTCCCCCGCAGGGCTACGCGGCCGAGATGGACAACCCGCTGATGACGCACCTCATCTCGACAGACCTGCACAACAAGAAGGACGTCCTGTTCGGAAACATGGAGGAGATCTACCACTTCCACAACAGGTGGGGCCGGCCTCGGGTCACCCTCGGGTCACACTCGGGGATCTCTGCCACGCCCGTCACCACCACCTCCGGGACCTGGGCCCGGAGGGCGCAGCCTCTCGAGGGCGAACTGTCAGGGCAGCAGGGGTGAGCGGGTGCCCAGGCGCTCTCGCCCTCTGCGTGCCCGGTGGCACCTCGCCTCCCCGACCGGGGCCGGCGGCTGAGTCACCCATGAGCTGCCCTGAGCGGCGCCGTGTGGGGGCCAGCCCCACCACCCTCCTGGCGCTGCGGAGGGGCAGAGGGGTCCCCAAAGCTGAGCGTTGGCGCTTGGGGGCAGCGGAGGCCACACCGCTCAGCAAGTGTGTGTCTCTCCCGGTTCTGACTGAGGGGCAAAGCAGACGCCCCTCACCGGGGCGCCGTCACCCGGGCTGCCTCTCCTCCGCCCTGTGGCGCTTCCTGCTTTCTTAATGATTTGCCGGAGCCTGCGGGCCGCGGCCGCGTGGGCACCCAGTGCCATGCACCCTGGAGAGAGGCCAGCAGGGGACCCCGCTCTGCAGAGCCGCCCTCAGGAGTCGGGGCTGTGGGGACCCTGGCATGAGCTCGCCCCCCCTTACAAATGAGGCCGCAGGCAGCAGCTGACCTGCCCAAGCGCCCCCCGCGCCGCTCCCCAGAGGTTGAGCAGAACCTCTTTTTTTTTTTTTAGACAGAGTCTGACTCTGTTGCCCAGGCTAGAGTGAGTGCTGTAACGTCAGCCTCGCTCACAGCAACCTCAGACTCCTGGGCTCAAGTGATCCTCCTGCCTCAGCCTCCCGAGTAGCTAGGACTACAGGTGCAAGCCACCATGCCCGGCTAATTTTTTTCTGTTTTCAGTGGAGACAGGGTCTCGCTCTTGCTCAGGCTTGTCTCAAACTACTGACCCCAAGCAATTCTCCTGCCTCGGCCTCCCAGAGTGCTGGGACTACAAGCATGAGCCACCATGCCCGGCCTTGAGCCTTGGGAATCAAAAAGGTGCCTTGGCATCCTCGAGGCTTCGGGGTCACGGCCAGTCTGTCACCGGAGCCCCGAATGGATCCCCAAGGCAACTCCCCCTCCTGCCAGGGTGTCTCCTAGGGCACACAAGCAAACCGGAGACTTAGAAAGGAGCCGGCACCAGAGCGTGGGACAGTGGCAGGGCAGGAGGGTCCTGGCCCACCAAGGCGCTGGGCCACGTGTGCAGGGACCCACAGCGCGCCGGTCGTGGGGGCAGCAGTGTCCCTCTCGGTCCTTGCTGCGGCCTCGTCCCAGCTGACGCCAGAGCAGCCCCCCACCCCTCTGCGCACCAGCGCCGGGATGCGCGGGGCCGGCCGGGGGCGCTGCGGTCAGGGGCTTTGTCACCACGCGGCGGCTTGAATCCTCCAGAGTAGAGGGTGGAAATCTGCTGGAAAATGATCTCCATTAACTGTCCCCGGCGTCACCAGACTCAGGTTGTTTTTCACGTGACCCGAGACCCCCCTGTCTAGGATATTCCTGCGGGAGCTGGAGACCTACGCGGACTGCCCGGAGCTGGTTGGAAGGTGCTTCCTGGAGAGGGTGCGTAGTTTTTAAGTCCACCACCAATGCTGAAAATGACGAATAATAGTGACTTTAAATCCTGCTGCAAGGTCCACTTCTAACCAATGGAAACGGCAGGGTACAAATGTTTTCGGTTTGGTTGAGATGATGTGATATTTTGGGGGGGGGGGCTGAAAGAATAGAAATTTTTTTAAAGTCCAATAACTAGTTCATAACAGAGAAAAGGTATAAAACTTAAGCTTTAGCGAATGCTGAAGTTATACAGCATCTAAGTTTTATTTTCTTGGTTGCTTTTTTTGTTGTTGTTATTTTTAAGATAATGTACTGAGCTACACCTAAATGTGTCTAACTTTTAGACACAGGCTTCAGATGAAGGTGGATGTTTTTCACGGGCTGTGTGGTTTGGTTTCGGGCCTGCCGGGCTTGGCGGCCTCACGTGCCGTGTGAGGTTGGGCGAGTCTCTCAACCTCTCTGGCACCACACTGGCACCAAGAGGCAGACGGGAGGAAGGAGGGAGCAGTGGTCGAGCTCGGCGCTGCCTGGGGCCCTCCTGCAGGTCGGGGACTGTCACGTGGGCTGTGATCTGTGGCCGCGGCGGATCCTGGGAACCGATCAGAGACGGCAGGATTGCCCCAGGTCCGGTCTGCGGCCAGGATCCCCTGGCGGTCGGCGGAGTGTGGAGGCCCGCTGCCGTCTCGAGGCTCGGGAGGTCTTTCCTTACTTAGAAGTAGGAAATCTGCGTCAGTCCCGCACCAGTCCTTACGAAGCCTGTTTCTGTGGCAAAGCCAGCACGTGGAACTAATGTTTTAGTGATAAAGAAGGTACGAGGCCTCACGCCTCCCTGGGGAAGTGACCTCCCGGTGGGAGCCGTCACCTGGCTGCCCAGACATGGGGGTGCAGCATCTGGGCGCCCTGGGCCCCTGTGTTCAGCCGCGTGCCTAGGGGTGGCCTGGGGTGGTCCAGGGCTGGGGACGCTGCAGAAGTGTGGGCCAGCCTCTCAAAGCCACGGGTCCGCCCACAGGAGGGTCCAGCGCTGCACACGCCTCACACCCGACCCTGCTCCCATTCTCAGTGCGGGCGGGACTCACCACGGCTCGCCTTGGAGTCAGGCCAGCCAGAGAGGGCTCTGGAGTGAGGGGAGGTGGGTGACCCCGGGGTGCAGCCCGTGGGGAGCACTCACTGCCTCTCCCAGAATGAGCCAGGACCAGAGGATCAAAGACTCCCACAGGAACCGAGTCCTGCTCTGGGGACCGTCCATAGCACAAAGAACCCTCCATGCACCTGAGATTCTCTGTGCTCTAGACCTTGCTCCCTGGAGCTCTCTTGCCTTAGAACCGACTCCTTGCCCTGGAGGCCCCTCTGTGCTCCTGGGGAAAATTCCATGCCCTGGAGCCCTTCATGTGGCCCTGAGGAACACTTCCATGCCCTGGAGCCCTCTGTGCCCTGGAACCTTCATGCCGCATGGAAGCCTCTGGTGCCTGGGAAACCTTCCATGCCTGGAGCCCTCCATGCCCTGGAGCCCTCTGTGCCCTGGAACCTTCCATGCCCTGGAGCCCTCTGTGCCCTGGAACCTTCCATGCCCTGGAGCCCTCCGTGCCGTGGAGCCCTCTGTGCCCTGGAACCTTCCATGCCCTGGAACCTTCCATGCCCTGGAGCCCTCTGTGCCCTAGAACCTTCCATGCCCTGGAGCCCTCTGTGCCCCCAGAACCCTCCATGCCCTGGAGCCCTTCCGTGCCCTAGAACCTTCCATGCCTGGAACCTTCCATGCCCTGGAGCCCTCTGTGCCCCCAGAACCTTCCCATGCCTTGCGAGCCTCTGTGCCCCGAGAACCTTCATGCCCCGTGGACCCTCTCGTGGCCCCAGGAACCCTCCATGCCCTGGAGCCCTCTGTGCTCTAGAACCTTCCCTGCCCTGGAGCCCTCTGTGCTCTAGAACCATCCCTGGCCCTGTGGTGTGGCGCCGTAGAACCATTCCATGACCTGGAACCCTCTGCGCTCTAGAACCATCCTGCCCTGGAGCCCTCTGTGCCCTAGAACCTTGTGTGACCTGGAACCCTCTGTACTCTGGAACCTTTGGTGCCCTAGAACCTTCCATGCCCTAGAACTGTCTGTGCTCTCTGGCACCACGGCGCCTCTAGAGGCAGCCAGGAGCAACTGCATTTCACACCAGGCTCAAGCCTGGTTTTTGCTAATTAATTTGTGTGATTTGCAAAACTGCCAGAGAAAGCCCTGGAAGGCAGGTCAGATAAGTCAGCAGACAGTTGTGTGCACCCCCTTTCAAGAGTGGCAGCCGGCAACGCCTGTGCCCTGGGCAGTGCCTCAGTGGCTACCACACAGCAGGCCCCGGGGCGTGGGCCAGGCGTGACGGGAGCCCCCCCAGGCACTGAGACAGGGAGGGCCACGGTGGTGTCCCTGAAGACGGCCTGTAAGGTGTGTCCGCTCTCCCACTGCAGATGGAAGACTTCCAGATCTACGAGAAGTACTGCCAGAACAAGCCGCGGTCCGAGAGCCTGTGGCGGCAGTGTTCTGACTGCCCGTTTTTCCAGGTACGTCCCTGGACCCCCACACCCCCACTAGCTGGCCTTAGACAAAGGCGGGTGAGACCTAAGCGCCAAGGCTCTGTTTGGCTGCAGGAATGCCAGCGGAAGCTAGACCACAAGCTGAGCCTGGACTCATACCTGCTGAAGCCCGTGCAGCGGATCACCAAGTACCAGCTGCTGCTCAAGGTGGGGCTCTGAGGGTGGCCCAGCCTCCCTGGGACCCCTGCTGCCCTCACCTGCCGGCCAGGTGTCCCGCCGCCCTAGGGCTGCTTCCCAGGCAGGACCAGGCCTCCTTCCCACCACGCCCAGCCCCTGCCGGGCCACAGGCCTCTTCCTGCCCACCGTTCTCTTCCCCCCGGCTCATGCCGACGCTTGGAGGGCCCACCATGTGGTTATGGCTGCTAAGGGGACCCAGGACACACACGGACCCTGTCCCCGAGCGGGTCTCCCCTTCCCCCAGGCTGGGATTCTGCTCTGACACGCCGATCCGTCCACCACAGGGTGGGCGGTGCCTGTGTGTCCTCACATGTCGGGGCTGGGGGCCTGGGAGAGTCCAGCTCTGGGGTCGCCGTTCCCGTCCCCTCCAGCTCCGTGTCCTTGACGGGGTCAAAGTGGATGGGGCTCCCTGGGGTGGGCGGGCTGCGGGGGGTCTGCGCCCGAGAGTGGGAGCCACTGCGTCCCCCGTGCTGGCCAGGCCGCAGCTTCCTGCAGACGAGGGCTGCGTGAGGGCCCGCACTGCTGTGAGAGCCGGCGCTCTGGAGGGCGTGGGGGCTGCGTGTGCAGGCCTCGCTGACGCCCGCTGCTCGCAGGAGATGCTCAAGTACAGCCGGAGCTGCGAGGGCGCGGAGGGGCTGCAGGAGGCGCTGAGCTCCATCCTGGGCATCCTCAAGGCCGTCAATGACTCCATGCACCTCATCGCCATCACCGGCTATGACGTAAGCGCCCCCTGCAGCTCGCTGGGCCTGCCTGTGCTCTGGGCTTTGGGTGCCGCCCGGAGCCTGGCGGAAGCCGGTTCTGCACGAGAGGTCCGTGAGGCCCCGGGGGAGCGGCCCCGGGTCCCGGTATCTGCAGGGGGGGGGGGGGCTCAGACTGCAGGTGTGGCCGTCTGTTCGCCGAGGTGTGGTTTGTGGGCCGGCGAGCCACAGGTGGCCGCAAAGGGCAGATTCCTCCCCTGCGCCGCAGCCCCACGCCGGGCGGAGTCGCCGGTCCTGCCTGCCTGCGTGTCCCTTCTGCACCTGTCTCAGTTTTTGCGTCAGCAGCCGTGACGTTTCAGCAGCCTTAGGCTCACGACAGCTGCGTGAGCAGAGTCTGCCGCCCCCGGCCGCAGGGCTCCCACAGGGCACCTGGCACTGGCGCTTTTAGACGCCTCCGTTACCGCCGAGAGAGCCACCACGTCCTGGGCACCTCCACAGCCCAGGCCCTGCTCCACTCAGGGCGGCGAGGGACGTCACCTACTGTAACCTGCGGCGCCAGCCCACGAGCCTGCCAGATGTGCCTCGCCTGACCCCCCACTCCTGCTGACCGCTAAGGAAAGGAGGAAACAGAGAGGCAGGAAGCACTGGCCTGCTCACCGCCTGCACGTGTCGCGGCGGGACTCGCCGCTGTCTGGGGGTGCCAGCCCCGCCCCTGGCGGAGACAGGCACCTTCCTGGCAACGTAAACAAGGGACCGAGGTGCGTAAAACCCAGCCACGTTCCCCAGAGTGATATAAGGAAGGCAGGGAAGGCCGGCGGGTCTCCAGCACTGCCGCGCAGGGCCGCCTTGGCCTCCACACGCTACAAGGACCCACGCCAGAGAGGGCTCGGAGTGAGGGTATGGGACCCGGTGAAGCCCGTGGGGAGCACTCAACATGCCCTCCCCCAGAATGACCAGGACCAGAGTGATCAAAGACCTCGACCACGAGGGAAGAGCGGGCGGGTCCTGCTTTCGGAACGCCTCCTCCTCCCATCCGGACGCGGACCCACCGATATGCGCTACGCCGGCCATTCTGTGCCCTGGACAAGGCTCTCTGTCGACATAGAGACGCGGCCGCACTTGCCCTCCACCCTCCCCTTCTGCTCTAGAACCGACCCCGGGAGATGCCCTGGAGCCCTCTGTCGCCACCGAGCAGCCTGCCTGCGCGAGGGCCCTCTGCGCGAGTTCTTCTCTCCTGCGTCCGGCTCTACATGCGAACGCGCTTGCTACTCGCCCCTCTCAGGAGCACAACGCCTGAGTGCGCCCGCGGGATGACCTGCCATGCCCTGCAGCCGCCTCTGTGCCTTGCACGGCCGTCTCCCATGCCCCCTCTCCTGCTCGCGGATCGCTCTGTAAGAAAACCGGCACATCACAAACCACAACAAACACACATTGCCCTGGAGTCCCTACACTGTGCCCCTAGGTAATCAATTCCATCCACAAGAACATACCTTCACTGTGGCTCTGACTGAACCTGTATGCCAGTTCCTCTCTGCTGCTATGCGATCCACAAACATCAATATGTCTGTGTTCCGCTGGAGCCGCCTACCAACTATAGGAACGCGGCCACTGGGCCATGAGCCTCAGCAATCCTCGTAAATTATACAGTGAAGCCTTCTTCAACAACTGATTCACATGCCCTAGGAGCCCTCTGTGCCCTACGACCTTTGCACAGAGTCCTCTTGAGCCTCTGGCGGTCTTGCACCTGAACCAGAAAATGCAGCACGTACATTGAACCAGATGTGACTGCGTGAGTCTACCTCCGTCTTCCTCATCTGACCAGAGCAATTCTCTATATCATGGTCCTCACAGAGAGATCCTCCGAGTGGACACACCTTGAGAGTCCTCTGGCGATAGTCCGACACAGAATCTCTGCCTTTCTCAGGCTTGTCTTCTGAGCCTTCGGCTATTACCCGCCGCAGATCACTCCGCGATGGAGCCAACTGAGAGCTCCTCTTGCCCCCAATAATCCCTCACCCAACGCTTCTTTACAGGATACTCCTCTTGCACCGTCTAGAACCTCTCCTTGCGCAGCTGGATCCCATCCTCCCCCCACAGACTCAGTGGACACACTTGCCGCTAAGTAGCTTCTGGCAATAGAAGACCCACTTTCCATGACCTGACACCTCTGCCGCTCTATAACGTCATCTCCCCTGCCTGGGACCCGTCGCGCCTCTACGACTATGATTTGTGTAACTGGAACCACAGCCCCCTACGTGCGTATACTGAAGGACTCAGAACATGGATGCGCCTCACCAAGTCCCTCTCCATGGCACCAAGAACCTTGCTGTGCTCTCCTGGCACTCACCACTCTCTCTCTTCGTAGTAGCTTTGCAGCTCAGAAGAGCAACTGCTATGTTCCCACCAGTTGCGTCAACCATCGGGTAGTTTGACATATATGATATAATTTTTGTGAAATTGCCAAAACGTGACCACAGAGAAAGCCCTGGAGAAAGATCAAATAATTCAAACAGTAAACTAAGTATGGTCCACCTCCTTCCTTGTACCAAGAGGGAAGCCGGCAACCCTGCCTGTCCCTGGGCAGGGTGACCTCAAGAATGGAGACGATCTCAAGATTCTATGCATCAGACCGCGGCGCACGTGGAACAGTGGTCACGACGAGCCCCCAGGCACTGAGACAGGGAGGGGCTATCGGGTGGGGTCCGCGCGTGGGAGAGAGCGGGCGAGCGAGAGGTTGTCCCTTCGCGGATGGTCCCTCTGGCTGCAGATGGAACATACTTTGTTCATGTACTGCGTACGAGAAACTGCCAGAAACAAGCCGCGGTCCGAGAGCCTGGTCGGCCATGTCTGACGTCTGGCACTCCGGTTTCCAGCTAACCGTCCCCTGCACTGCCTGTGGCTCCTGCTCCCCCCACCCCAGATCCCCCATCCTACTCGTCGCCTTCTGATGCAGACAGAGCGGGGTTGAGACCTAGAGCCCAAGGCTCTGTGGCTGCAGGAATGCCAGCGAAGGCGGACCACAACTGAGCCTGGAACTCATACCCGCCTGAAGCCCCCCTGCACGGATCATCAAGTACCAGCTGCTTCTCAGGTGGGCAGTCTGGCGACGGTGGCCCCTCACGACCACTGGCCTGGCCCCCTTGCGGTGCCTCACTCTGCTCCGCAAGCAAGGGAGTGTTGGTACCATCTAATGCCGCTATATTAAGGGCCCACACCCTCTCTCAGCCAGCTTGCCACCAACGCCCTCCGATTGACCCACCCCTACGGCCTAAGCCCCCTGCCAGGCACAGCCTCCATGTCCTCGCGCCTCACACACCAGCTTCGCTCCTCCATCTCTCAGGCACATATACCCCGACACCGCTTGAGGCCCATCTCACATGTGATATGAGGCTGCTTTAAGGGACGCAGCAGACATCCAGCACGGACCACTGTCCCGACGGGTTCCCCCATCTCTACCCCAATGAAGAATGGCGCGCGAGAGGAGCGCCGAGCGCTAACCTACGTTATCCTTGCAAACACCACAGCGTCTCGGAGCGAGAGTCGCCCCTGTCGTCTCCCCGACACTGTCCGGGGCTGGCGCGGCCGTGCGGGACGATGTCAGCTATCGGTAGCGTCGCGCGTCTTATCCCACATCGCGCCTCGCGAGCGCACTGCCGTGCCCTGCCGTTGAACTGGTGGCTCAAGAGCAAATGGACCTGTGTCTCACGCATAGATTGGACACGCGCACAGGGGAGACTAGGCGCGCCGTGAGAGTGGAGCCACTGGTTTTGTCTACATTCGTCGGTCACCAGAGTTCGTCTTGCCTATAGGCCGCAGCTGTGCACATCGCAGACGAAGAGAGAGGAGGCTGGGCAGTGAGGGCGCACTGTTGCATGAACCGGCGCTTGGAGCCAGCCGGGGTGCTGGGGAGGCTGACAGCGGCGCGGGAGAGATCTCAAGACAGCCGGACTGCGAGGGCGGACCGGGCGCCATTGCGAAGTGATCGCTTCGAGACTCATCTCCAGCTGAGGCGCATTATTCAAACTCAAGGCGTCATGATTATATGCCTCATGCGCGAAGATACCCATTTGCGGAGTCCAGGCTAGAGCACACACACACCCATAGTCAGCGTTCGGCCGCGCCTTGCCGTGGGCGCTGAGCTGTGGGAACCACCCTGAGCCCGCGGAGGGGTGCCTGCGGTTCTGGCCGTAGGTGAGGGTCCGTGAGGAGCCGGTCCCGCCGAGGATGTTTGGGACCATGCCTTTGGGTCACCAGTAGTCGGTGGACGGGTGGGGGGGAGAGAGAAATGCTCAAGCGTACTTCTTATATGCAGGTTCGAGAACCAGTTCTCTACTCCTCTCTTATGGTGAAGTGGTTTTTGGTTCGTCTCCGGAGCGCCGCAGTCCACCGTGCCAAACACTTAGCAAAAAGATATCTCCTCTCTCTTCCCACACTA